ACACTCAGCTAAGGGTGACGGGGCGGCCGCCATGGTCCACAACGGCTTGAGAAACTCCCTCCTGCATGCAATGGTGCTTTTCTTTGTTGCACAAGTTATTACAGCAAATGGGACGAAAACATTCCATGTCGGAGGCTCACGTCGTCGGGAGGAATCGAACCTCCCTCTCCCTCTGTGTACTTTTGTCTCATCGCCAAATTTGTGAGGGCAGCCACCGTGGCTTACGACGGCTTGTAGATACCCCTTTGCGCTGGGATAGCTGGCATTTATCGTGGCTATTTGCTCAAAAGCAAGCGAAAGAAAGGGAAACAAAAATTCCACAATCTTCAAGACCATATGCCGCCAGGAGGAATCGAACCTCCGCTTCCCGCTTTCAATTGTATGGTGAAATACAGTTATTATTGGCAGGCGGCGTCCAAGGCCTACGATGGCTTGTAAACACCACTTCTCGGATTCAATGAGTGTGCCTTTTTTGTTGAATGAGTAAGTTAAAGGAAATGTGGAAAAGGTCCGATCCCTCCTTATTTTTCGCTTTGACTTTGCATTACGCATGCAAAATAAACTAGAAGCGCAAAATATTGCTCGCTGGACTCAAGTCCTGACCGATTACCTTCCGAAGAAATAGAACGAGCAAAAGGTCATGCATGGTGCTCCGCTCATGCCGCTGGGAGGAATCGAACCTCCACTTCCCGCTGTAAATTGTCTATGAGTTCAACCAACTTGAGGCAGGCGGCCGCCATGGCCTACGACGGCTTGGAAGCCTGTTCTTCAGACAGAGGACGTCGGAAGCTCTTGGCTCCTTGCCTAAAAGTTGGGGAAAAGTGAAGGCTTCGTCGTCCCATGCCGCAGGGAGGAATCGAACCTCCGACTCCCTCCAATCACATCTCCAAACTGCTCTGCTTAATTTGTGAGGGCGGCCTCCACGGCCACGACGGCTTGAAATCCTGTTGGTCAGACGGTATAAGCTTTGCGTTTGTTCGATGAGTTGTTAAAGAAAACAAGCACTCAAAGTGCACTGGTCCATGACGCCGGGAGGAATCGAACCTCCGTATCCCGCTTGCAACTGGCTGATACCCAAGTAATGTTGGCGGGCGGCCTCCATGGCCCACGACGGCCTATAGTCACCCCTGGCCAGATGAAATAAGCTTGCCCTTGTTGAATGAGTTGGTAAAGCAAAAGGGACAAAAATCAAAGCGAGATGGTTCTTGCCGTCGGGAGGAATCGAACCTCCCCTCCCGTTGGTAAGTTCGAAGGATTTGACAAGACTTTCGCAGGTGGGTCGCCATGGCCCATGACGGCTTGGAAACACACCTTGTTGGGTCCCACTTTTAATTGCCATTTGTTGCCTGTGCGTTGTGGGCGGGCGGCTTCTATAGCCCTGTAAACACTCTCCATTTCTCTCTTGTGGCTCTGTTGAAAAAAAAAAAAGTTTTAAAGATCGCAGTCATGCCGTCGGGAGGATTCGAACCTCCGCTCCCCGCTTTCAACTACACATAAATTCCCAGTACTTTCAGCAGGCGGCCTCCATGACCCACGACGGCTTGAAATGGCTCCTTTCCAGATGAAATAAGCTTGCGTTTACTGACATGCTGTTGAAGAAGGTAAGGGAGAGGGAGAAAATAAACAAAAGTCAGTACATATCATTTTCAAGAATGCCGCCGGGAGGAATCGAACCTCCGCCTCCCTCCAATCACATCTCGAAACTGCTGTGCTTAATCTGTGGGGGTGGCCTCCATGGCCTACGACGGCTTGGTATCACTATCCTATTTGGATGAGCTCGCATGAATGAGTGGCAGGAAAAAGAAAGGTCAAAGAGTTTCGTATGATGCCATCGGGAGGAATCGAACCTCCGCCTCCCTCCAGTCTCTTCAGAAGCGATGCGCGTAATGTGTGAGGGCGGCTTCCATGGCCCACAACGGCTTGTAAATACGATGTGGTAAGTTAGCTGGTTCAAGCTGCGACTCAACACGGACGATTGAGGGAAAAAAAGAGGAACTTTACCAGAGACATACACCGTCGGGAGGAATCGAACCTCCGGCTCCCGCTTTTAACTGCTTTGGGGGTATCAGATCGATCTTTGCAGGCGGCTTGAAAACATGCCTTTTGATCTGAGATAAGCTCCTGTTTGTTCGATGAGTCAGAAAGCAAAGGGGGCAAAAAGCTGAGGGCTCTAGAGGTGGATGTCGCCGGGAGGAATCAAACCTCCACAGTGTCCACTCCCCGCTTTCAACTGTTCTGGTTGAACACAAATATCTTTGGCAGGCGGCCTCCATGGCCTACGACAGCTTGTAAACACTACCTAAGGCATGCAATTAGTGTGCCTTTTTTTCGTTGAATGAGTAAAGCAAAAGGAAACAAAAACGAAAAGGCAAGTTGCGCCAACCATGCCGCAGGAAGGAATCGAATCTGATTTTCCGTTTTGCCTTTGCGATGCAAAATGAACTAGAAGTGCAAAATATCGCTCGCTTGGACTCGTTTGGCTTCGGAAGAAGGAAACCGAGCAAAAGATGATGGTGTTCCGCTCATGCCGTCGGGAGGAATCAAACCTCCGTCTCTCACTTTCAACTGTGCGCAGATTCTCATTCGTAGACTGCATTGTTGGCGGGCGGCTTCCATAGCCCACGACGGCTTGAAAAACACTCCTCTTGAGCTGAGATAAGCTCCCCTTCGTCAAATGAGTTCTTAGAGAACAAGGCAGACAAAAAGCCATGATGTTCAAGAGCATATGCCGAAGGGATGAATCGAACCTCCGACTCCCTCTGGTAAGCTCGAAGGATTTGTGTAATTTTTGGCGGGCGGCTTCCATGGCCTACGACGGCTTATAGTCACCAGTGCCCACCACTAATAAGCTTGCCTGCGTTCGATGAGTTGTTAGAGAAAAAGAGGACAAGGGAGGGGTTTCATACCGTCGGAAGGATTCGAACCTCCGTCTCCCTCTGTGTCCTTTTGCCGATTGCCAAACTTGTGAGGGCGCCTCCATGGCCCACGACGACTTGAGCTCCTACTTTCCGCTAATACACTCAAGTAGCATAGAATAAACGGGGACACCAAGAAGAGAAAAAAACATCAAGCCACACTTCGATTATGGCCGTCGGGAGGAATCGAACCTCCACCTCCCGCTTTCAACCTGGCTCAAAATCAAGACAATCCTGGCGGGTGGCCGCCATGGCCCACGACGGCTTGAACCCATACCTTTCCCGGTGGATAAGCTTGCATCTCCTACGGCTCGTTGCTCCAGAGTAAGTGAAAGAAAGGGAAGCAAAAATGTGTAACCTCAACATCCTGATGCGATCGGGAGGAATCGAACCTCCGGTTCCCGCTTCAACTGCATTTCGCTGCACAATGTAATTCTGGCGGGCGGCCTCCATGGCCCACGACGGCTTGCAACCATACATTTTCAGTTAAGAAAAGCTGGGATTTACATAATGGCTTGTTGCTCAAACGTAGGTGATGTAAGGGCAACAACCGCCACAGCCCGATCACTGGAGCGGCGACCAACACACACACACAGGTCTCAAGAGTCTGGGCAGAAGGAGGATCCTTAGGCACTACTAGATACATGAGGCGGAGTGGCTACTCACCTGGGCAGAAGGAGGATCCTTAGAGAAGAAGCTAAGGATCGTCTGCCCAGGTGTCACATCTTATATACTAATGTGTAACGGGTGACTGTCTAAAGCATGTGACTATGCAGCTGCATGTGATCCGGTGATGCACGGAAGAAGGAGAAGTCCGACCGAAGGAATGGACCGTCGGACAAGCCCATGAACAAGGGGAAAGGGAAGAGGGGTGTCGGAGACCGCTAGAGAGAATCGAGCTGAGCTCGGACTGTGAGGAATGGACGGACCGAGGGCCAGGTCCAGGCATGGGCCAAGGTCCGAGGTCGGACGAGACACACCGGCCAGGCACGCGTAGAAGAGAGACGGAAGGCTGGAGGGCAGACTTCGGAGGATCGACCGAGGATGGCGAGGAGATCCGGAGTTCTACAACCAAGTGTCTGACAGCGACCAACACCGAGAGGAGGATGCTACGGGCCGAGCAATCGGACCGGAGACCGGACCGAGAACCGAGTCCATAGCGGAAAGGCGGACGAAGGGCGGAGTCGGAGAGGAGAGAGGGAAGGGAAAGAGGGAGATGCGGACGTATTGCACAAAGGCTGCAGTATCTGGCACGAGCCTATACAGCAGTAGGCCACGCCCGAGGGTGTCGGCAAGACCCGAGGAGGAGGAGAGGCGCTGGTTGCTGGAGCCAGACGCAGGAGAGGGGAGGGGTGTGGATGCATCGAGACTCCCGGAGTCACGATAGCGGGCACGAGCCTATACGGCAGTAGGCCACATCCACGAGGGGGCAGAGCTCTGGTCTGCGGAACACGGAGAAGGTGGAAGGCTTCTCCGGAGGGTTCGCTCTCGGAGACCATGGCGGGCGGAGACGGAAGCGGAAGGAGGGAGGGAGAGCTGGAGCCGAAGCTTAGCTGAGCTCGACCAAGGCCCGGATGCCGAAGACAAGAGATGAAACCAGAGCAGCGCCAGAGGCGACTTGGGAAGAGGGATACCGGGGGAGGATGGTAGCCAGAGTCAGGAGTATGACCAAGGGAGCGTGAGGGTCGGACGACTGGGCTGTTAGTGGTGAGGCGAAGGCGAAGCAATCCGCAACGGGCTGGAGGGCTGAGGCAAGCCAAACCAGGTGGAAACACCGGGCCGCGAGGGCGTCCCCTGACAGGTGAGAGAAAAAAGCTTTTTGTGTGGTTTTGTATGCCGTCGGGAGGAATCAAACCTCCGTTTCCTGCCTTCAACTAGTCTCTTATAAACAGACGCTATAACAAAATGAGCTCGTACCTCGCTTGTTGTAGCCTTCAACTTTCCTTGATCGCAGCAATAGTTTCGGCGGGCGGCCTCCATGGCCCACGATGGCTTCCACTTATACCTTTGCATACAAAGGAAGCTTGCATTTGTTGAATGAGTTGGTAAAGCAAAAGGGAGAAAAGTGAAGGATGTTTTCGTCTATGCCGTCGGGAGGAATTGAACCTCCGCCTTCCTCCAATCACATCTCGACACTGCTGTGCTTAATCTGTGAGGGCGGCCTCCGTGGCCTACGACGGCTTGTAAATCTTACTTCCTGTATAGCATAGCCCAGCATTTGTCGAATAAGTTGTTTCCAAAACAAGCACTCAAAGTGCACACTGCACTGGTCCATGACGCCGGGAGGAATCGAACCTCCGACTCCTGCTTTCAACTTCTGTTCCCTGGGTCCAAGTGTGACGGGTGGCCTGAGTCCATGGCCTACGACGGCTTGCACTTATACCTTTTCATACAAAGGAAGTTTGCATTTAGTTCAGTTCCGCTCCGTAATGAAGAAAGAGAGGGTAAAAAGATATACCATCCGTCACACGCCGCTGGGAGGAGTCGAACCTCCCTTGCTCAAAAGTAGGTGGGTGGGAAGCAAAAGTTTGAAACATTACGAAACATGCTGTCGGGAGGAATCGAACCCCCACTCCCGCAGTCAACTTCGATTCGCGACCGTGATAGGTTTGGCGGGCGGCCTCCATAGCCCACGACGGCTTGAAAATATAACTTGCTGGGCGTAATAAGCTTCTCTCTTTTTGGGGGCTCTGGTAGAAAGAAAAAGGAGTTGATGTAAAAAGCTCGCTGTGGTATACCGTCGGGAGGAATCGAACCTCCACCTCCCGCTTACAATTGGTCTGGTTACACAAGCTAGGTATTTCTGGCGGGCGACCTCCATGGCCTACGACAGCTTGAAACAGCACCTTTGCAGCCATATGTAACAAAGTAGGATTTATTCCGGTCCTGTTCGTCAGGTCTGCAAAGAAAACAGGAAACAAAAAGTTGCGAGTCCAAGCTATGCCGTCGGGAGGAATCAAACCCCCGCCTCCCTCCAGTCTCTTCCAAAAAGTGATTGTGCATAATGTGTGAGCGGCCTCCATGGCCCACGACGGCTTGTAAATACCATGTGTTAGATAGATGAAGCGGCGACATACCCCGGATGAGTGAAGAGAAAAAAAACAACCCTTCATATCCAAGAATGCCATGAATCGAACCCCCAGCTCCCACTTTCAACCATGGAGCACCGCGTCAACAATGGTGGCGGGCGGCCGCCATGGCCTACGACGACTTATATCCGCGTCTAAGAGATAGGATAATCTTGCCCTGTGTTGAATGAGTTGTTACATAAAGCAAACGTACAAAACGCTCGTGCTGGGATTAATGTAAAAAGCTGGCTGCGGTAGGGGACCTATGCTACCGGGAGGATTCGAACCCCCGGCTCTCGCTCTCAACTTTGAAAGGGACCTGGATCAGTTTTGGCGGGTGGCCGCCACGGCCTACGACGGCTTGAAACTATCCCTTGTGAGACGGGATAACCTTGCCTTTGTTGCACGAGTGAGTAAAAGAAAAGAACAAAGAAAAACACAGCAAGGAAGGGCAAAGCCGTCTGGAGGAATCGAACCTCCGGCTCCCGCTTTCAATTTTCAGACTGTCGGTTGCAACTATTTTTTTGGCGGGCGGCCTCCATGGCCTACGACGGCTTGGAATTGGAATCACTAGTGGGATGAAGTAAGCTTGCCGCTGTTGCATGAGTTAGTAAAGAACAGGAAACAGAAAAAAGAACCGTGATCAACCTTAGGCTCGTCGGGAGGAATCGAACCTCCGACCCCCGCAACTTGTACAGTTTACTGCAGCTGAAATTTTGGTAGGCAGCCGCCACGGCCCACGACAGCTTAGAATCACTATCCTACTTGGATGAGCTCGCCTTTGTTGAAACTTGAATGAGTGAGTAAAGAACAAAAAGTAAAGCGTGGTGGATGCCCGATGCCGTCGGGAGGAATCGAACCCCAGCTCCCGTTTACAACTTTGACTCGCGACCGCAATAGGTTTGGCGGTCGGCCGCCACGGCCCACGACGGCTTGAAACCCTGTTCTTCAGACGGGATGAGCATGTCTCTGTTGTGGCTCTGTTGAAAAAAGAAAGTTTTGAAGATTGCATGCTGTCGGGAGGATTCGAACCTCCGTTTCCTGCTTTCAATTGTACGGGTTTGATTGACTTGCGGCAGGTGGCCTCCGTGGCCCACAACGGCTTGAAACTGTATATTTGAGCTGGGATAAGATTGCTTTTGTTCGCTGAGTTGTCAGAGAAAAGGAACAAAAAAAGTGAAGGTACAGTGGGTACTATGTTGTCGGGAGGAATCGAACCTCCACTTCCCGCTTTCAACGTTTCTGTACCTCCGCAACAGATCCGGCAGGCGGCCCGCATGGCCCACGACAGCTTGGAATTGTCCCTTTTGAACTGGGATAACGGGACGTCCATTATCAGCCGCCGAAGTTGAACTTACCCCTGTCCTCGAATAATCTTGGCCAAGTCCAAGTCCCGAAACAAAAGTATGTGCTTGCAAAGGAGAACCACCCAAGGCCGCTCGACGCCTCTAAACATTAACTTGTTGCAGACGGCCTCCATGGCCCACGGCGGCTTGAAAATCAGTCCTTTCCAGACGAACGAAGCTTGCATTTGTTGGATGATGAGTCGGTAAACAAAAAGGGACAAAAGGCAAACAAGATAGCATATGCCGCCGGGAGGAATCGAACCTCCGGCTCCCGCTTTCAACTGTACGCAGATTCACAGAATATATCAATATATTTGGCAGACGGCCACCATGGCCCACGACGGCTTGCAATACCCGCTGCTAAGCATGCAATGAGCTTGTCTTTGTTCGATGAGTTTGTAAAGAAAGAGAAAAACGACACAAAAGGCTTAAGGTTGACTGGGTCATGCAGTCGGGAGGGATATAGCTATCATTCACTGGCTCGTCCCTCAAAGGTAGGGGGGAGGGAAGCCAAACGATGCATATAGTCAGGTAATGCCGTCGGAAGGATTCGAACCTCCGACTCCCACTTCCAACTTCTGCTAGGATCCCGATTAATTTTGGCAGGCGGCCTCCATGGCCCACGATGGCTTGAAACCATATTCTCCAGATGGGATAAGCTTGCCCTTGTTGAATGAGTTGATGAAGAAAGGGACAAAAAGACGAAGGCCGGCATTCTATGCCGTCGGGAGGATTCGAACCCCCGGCTCCCGCTTTCAAATTTGCATCAACGACCGTGATAGTTTCGGTGGGCGGCCGCCATGGCCTACGACGGCTTGAAATGCACCTTTCGAGACGGTATAAGCTTGGCTTTGCTTGATGAGTTAGTAAGGCAAACGGAATAAAAAAGTGAAGGTTACTTATTAGGTTGTCATGCCGTCGGGAGGATTCGAACCTCCAGCCCCCGCTTTCAACTGTTCTGGTTACACAAGGTATTTCTGGCGGGCGACCGCCATGGCCTACGACGGCTTCAGCTCCTACTTTCGGGAGGAGCTAAGAGCTGTCAATTGAGCATGGAATCAACGGGGACACAAACAAAAAAGCATGTCATTTTCTAATCATGGCCGTCGGGAGGAATCGAACCTCCGTCTCCCGCTTTCAACCTTTGGCTGCATCGGATCAATTTTTGCGGGCGGCCTCCATGGCCTACGACGGCTTCAGAATACTACTTGCCAGATAGGATAAGCTCGCGTTTGTTCGATGAGTTTTCAAAGGAAAAGAAAAGAAAAGGTGAAGCGTTTCGCATGATGCCGACGGGAGGAATCAAACCTCCATCTCCCGCTTTCAATTGTATGGGTTTGATTGACTTATGGCAGGCGGCCGCCATGGCCCACGACGGCTTATATTCATACCTTTTTAGCCGGCATAAGCTAGCATTTGTCGCTGTTCATTGCTCAAGGGTAAGTAAATGAAAGAAAGTGAAGCAAAAACGGGACAATCCCGTTTTCAACTGATCATTGGTTCCGTTGTAATTTTTGCAGGCGGCCTCCGTGGCCCACGACGGCTTGCACCTACATATGTGGACTGAGGATTGTGCGTAAATGATGAACGTGTCTGACTCAGAGCGCGGTATCCGGGAAAAAAACTCCTTAAGACCTTGACAATGCTGTCGGGAGGAATCGAACCTCGCATTCCCGCTTTCAACTCTCAACGACTTCGAATAAGTTTTGGCGGGCGGCCTCCGTGGCCCACGACGGCTTGAAATGCACCTTTCGAGACGGTATAAGCTTGGCTTTGCTTGATGAGTTAGTAAGGCAAACGGAATAAAAAAGTGAAGGTTACTTATTAGGTTGTCATGCCGTCGGGAGGATTCGAACCTCCAGCCCCCGCTTTCAACTGTTCTGGTTACACAAGGTATTTCTGGCGGGATTAGAACAACTGATGCCGTCCGGAGGATTCGAACCTCCGCTTTCCACTTTCAACTTTGACTCGCGACCGCAATAGATTTGGCGGGCGGCCTCCATTGCCTACGACAGCTTGAAGCCATACCTTTTGCCAAGTTATATAAGCAGATTGTTGGATCGTTGCCAAAATTAAATGCCTCCAAGGCCCACGACGGCCTGCAAACACTGTTCATAAGCTTGCCTTTGTTCGCTGAGCTGTTAACAGAAAAAGAAACAAAAAGATATGAAGGGTGCGGTTTAATGCCGTCGGGAGGAATCGAACCTCCGGCTCCCGCTTTCAACTGTGCCTTTTGAGCAAGATTAATGTTGGCGGGCGGCTGCCGTGACCCACGACGGCTTGAATACATAGCTCGGGATTCAGATGTCTTGCGAACGGATTTGTATTTGGACTTTGTTAATGCATGCGAGGGCAACGGCGAGGACCGACCATACAAATGCAAGAGACACCCGAACAAACGTTGGGGATTACATAGAGAAGCTGATGCTGCTTGCAAGTTCTATCTTCATCAGCTCTAGTTTAGCCAGCATTGAACAAGAGACGGGAAAAGGGGATACCCGAACAAGGGTTGGGTGTACAGTGGAGATGAAAGATGGAAGAGGAAGCCTTGGCTGATTGAGCAGAGCATTGGGTGAGCCACACACAAAGGCAGGAGATGGAAGAAAGAAGACAAGTGCATAAAACAGGCTGGCCACGGATTTATCGAAGACAGAAACAAGGGTTGCACTAATACGATTTGTTTGTGGGCGCAATCATCAATGTCGAGCGCTGATTGTGATTGTGCCAGATTTCAAAGATGACAAGTTGCTGAACAGATGCAATGGAAGGAAGCGTTGGAGATGAAAGGAACAGGATGTGAAAGCACATGCAAGAAGATATGCCAGTGAAACCCTGGAACGCTCGAGCCTGCAATGATTTGGGGGATAACAGCGCGCACGGAAGGCTGGAGGTTGGAAGGGATGATGTCCTCGGAAGAAGTTAGGAAAGCGTGGTAGAGAGGGATAATCAAGATGAGCTCAGCGCGCGGGCAGCGCGTCGTGAAACAGCCCCCTGGAATAGCTGAGAATTGACTGTACTGTAGAGATGCAAGGGTTGGGCGCTGTTGTCGTCCGTTGACCCATTCATTGAAGATTCGGTGTGAACGACGTTTTGTGGTGAAGAGGACTCCCAGCAGATTTCGCCATCCACATGTCACCTGCAGCTTGGCAACCGACTCGAGCCTTGGCCTTGCAATGCCCAGACGCCAGCGCGGCCAGACAACGCCTCGTACGACGCACTCACCATCGAAGCCCTTCGCCGCGTCACGTCGCTCGCCTTGATCATATTCGGAAGTCGGATGCAGTACATAGACCCAGGGCGAGGGTGTTGATCCAATCGCCCAAAATTCACCGAGAATGCAGTCGCAGTGCAGGCTGAATCAGAGTCCCACCTCGTAGCAACACGCAGGTCGAAGGGCTTCGCGTCGCCGTCTCTCCATCACGTCGCTGCATCACGTCGTTTCGGAACCACCTTCGCCGCGCTCGCACCGTGAGGACGTGACCGCGTCCGCATTACGCACCATGATTACGCAGGGAAATAAGGTTAGCGCGCACACGCCTTGCACCGCAAATAGATAAATTACGAACAAACGCAAGATAATTTAAAACGCGTGGGCCGATCAGCGGGTTCGGAATAACGGGGAATAAGGGAAAATAAGGGTTAAGGGCAAGGCTATGGGGAATCCCAGGGACGCGTGCACGTTTTGATGCTCTTGTCATCTTATGTGAATCACTGATGTGACGCAGCGAAAGGGGTTCCCCACCAAAAGGGGTTGGCGGTTCCCTTTTGAACGAGATCGATTTGAGTCGCGACGAAAGGGGATTAGGAAGGGGAAGAGAGGCGAGTCGGTTCAGTTTGCGTGCGTTTGAAAAAGAATTCGGGTCGATTGGATTTTTTTGGGAATGTGATTGCAGAGCTGTATTGAGTTTGGGTTGTCGTACGCGGTCCCAGTCCCAAGCCAGTGTCACCGTGATCCATCACGGTGCGTTTGCGTTTGGGGTCTGCCTGGATGCAGTCCCTGTTCAAGGGGATAAGTCTGCGTCGCCTTCCCCATCGACGCAAGGAAGATGAGCCTGATGAGATGCGCACAAGGGATCAAGGGATTCGGTAAGGGATGTCGATTGAGGTGTGGGTGCGATTTGGGTTGGTAAGCAAACGCGGAATAGGAACTGGAATTGGAAGCGGACACGGGCGATTGATTTCGCTAGGCCTTTTTTTTTTGTGTTGTTGTTGTAAGTTGTGATGTGCAAGTGATGTCTCTGGGCTTGGTCCCTTACTTATAATATCATAATCCGACGCCATATATGCCCGCCCCTCCTCACATTCAAAGGCGACTTGTCTTGTCTTGTCTTCGACGACTTGCACGGCAAGGACAACGACATACGAGAGACGACGACTAGGACGACGATAGATGGCGACGCTGGACGCGCTCCCCCGCGAGCTCGCGCATTGGACCGCCGCCGTTTCTTCCGCCCCCGCTCCCTTGCATCCTGCGCATAACACCCATGCGCACTCGACGCAGCACGGACAGCACGCGTCAGGCCCGATGCCCATGACGCCGCCGCACACCGACCGTCTCGCGCCGCACTGGCTCGACTACCACACACAAACGAATGCCAATACCCATACAGGTGGCGCGGGGTATCAACAAGGACAGTATGGAGGTCATAGGGGACAGCTGCGTACGTGTTTTGTTCTCCTTTGTTCTCGTTCCTTTGTTGGGCACGGAGGCGGGGCGTTTGACGCGCGGGGGTGGGTGTTGTGTGGCAGGCAACCGCACTTCGGTGTCTTAGTGCGCAATTGCTATGCGTGCGGAAGCACCCTCGCCGGCGTCGCCGTTTTCCTGCGGGTATCGCGGTGTATAGGTTTCACAAACGCGGATGGCCGCGTTTGTGGCCACCCGCCTGCCGTTGATATCTCCCGCTGGCGTCCCCGTCTCGTGGGTATCCTGCTGGGCGGAGCGCTCGACATGCGCTTCACTTGGGTGTGGCCACCCGACGTCGCTTAGACGTGGTGGCTCGTTTATATTGTCCCGATGCTCCCGTATTATACCCGGTGTACTGACTTACATTTTTATCTATATTATAGTGACGCCCCCAGACGACTCCCCGCTCGAACGCGAGCGCGACGCGCCGATGCCTTCTTCTTCCCACTCGCATACGCACTCTTCCTCCTACTCAAATTCGAATCCGCATACCAATTCAAATTCGCACACCACGCATACAACGCAATACTACCACCCGTACGCCTCTTCCTCCACCACCACAAGAAGGGAGTCGTTCCCCGATTCGTACGCCTGCCCGACGCAGCAGACGAAGGCGACGGTGTATCCCGATTCGTATGCGCCACCACCTGTGTCGGCATCATCACATACGGCGCATGCGCACTCGTCTTCCAGCTCGTCCCTCGCTTCTTCCAGGTCTACACTCGCGTCCTCGTCTTCCTCCACGTTGAACGGCTCCGGCGCGAGTGCAGCGTCTTCTTCCTCCAGCACCTCCACTCTAACGGTCGCGGCACCCTCTACCCTCACCGCCTCTTCTTCTCAGGTCCCAGCAAAAGCACCTCCAGCCGAAGAGGAGGCCCCCCTCGCATGGACACACGACTGGCTCCGCGTCCCCACCTCCTCCACCTCCTCCCTCTCTTCTTCCTCGAAGGGCGCAAACGTGGGAGTGAGCGTAAACTGGGCACGCCCGGAGAGCGCGGCGCTCGTGGCGGAGAAGACGTGCGAGATGATTTGTTATCTGTGGTTTGCGCCTTCCGCCTCCGCCACTTCACAGGAAGGGGTGTCCAATAATTTGACTGCGTCGCCTTCAACGACGACGAGCGGTGCAGGAGA